CCCCCCCCAACAGCACTGGAGCGCCAGAGGAGCCGGCGCCAACCGGGCAGCCCAACCTTCTCCCGCCTTTGCTCCTCGGACAAGCCGGGACAGGCCTCTCCCCCCCCCGCCCTCCGGGAATGAAGTCAGACCGGCTGAGGAGCCCCCAGCCAGCCTCGTGCCCGGACACACCTGTGCCCCCCCCCCCTCGCCTGGCCAGAGGGGGCCCAGAAGCCGCTGCCTAGAGGGCGATGCCCCTGCCCCCACCACACCCGGATTGCAATCCACCCCCGCCTGCCCCCCCCCGTCTGAAATTCGGCATGATGGTGATGGCAAAGGGGGGGTCTGTCTGCAGGCTGCCCCCTCCTCCCCTCCCGCCCCTTCTGGGCAGGGACCCCCCTGTTGGGGGACTGGATGGGGCGAGGGCAGCTCAGGGTGGAGAGCCAGTGGGACGGTGGGGCCCCCAACAGGCTTTGGGACCCTGATCTGACCCCAGCATGGAGCCGGAAGTCCAATCAGGGTCCTCTGGCTGCTCCCAGCCCTCCCCCCTGTAGCGGGGGGAGGGGCACCACGTTGCAGAAGAGAATTCCAAAGCCGAGAGGGGGAACAACTCCTCCTTCTCCTCTTCCTCCTCCTCCTCCCGGCAGAGCCTCCTCACTTAGGAGCAGTGTACCTTTGAGGACCAGTTGGTGAGCGGAGGCCAAGGGGCGGAAGGGCCCGGCTCTGCCAGGGGAGGACCGGTTGAGCAGGCCGGCTGGGAGGGCACGGCCCCTGCGGGGCTGGGGCGGGGAGGGGGCTCACGTGACCCGGCTGGGGCAGAGGTCACAGCTGGGAGAGGCGCAGGTGGCCTGGGGCCCTGGCACCTTTCCCGGGCACGCCTCAGCAGGCTCTGCCCCCCCCCCCCGATGCCAAGGGGGGGGGCGGGCAAAGGGCGCCTTCACAGCCTTGCTGGGAGCGGGGAAGGTCCCGGCGCTGCCTCACCCGTTGACCTGCCCTCTCCCTCCCTCCCTCCAGCCGTCCAGAGGGGCCGGATCCCGCCCAGCCACGCCAGCGCCAGCCCCAACGCCGTGCAGAGCGGAGACTACTACAATGGGCAGCCGGTCTCAGAGCTGATCTCGCAGCTGCTGCGGGCCGAGCCCTATCCCAGCGCCCGCTTCAGCTCCCAGTACGCCCAGCAGGGGGGCAGCGTGATGGGCATCGACAACATCTGTGAGCTGGCCGCCCGGCTGCTCTTCAGCACGGTCGAGTGGGCACGCAACATCCCCTTCTTCCCGGAGCTGCCCGTCTCGGACCAGGTGGCGCTGCTGCGGCTCAGCTGGAGCGAGCTCTTCGTGCTGAACGCCGCCCAGTCGGCCCTGCCCCTCCACATGGCGCCCCTGCTGGCTGCGGCCGGCTTCCACGCCGCCCCCATGTCCGCCGACCGGGTGGTCTCCTTCATGGACCAGATCCGCGTCTTCCAGGACCAGGTGGAGAAGCTCAGCCGGCTGCAGGTGGACTCGGCCGAGTTCAGCTGCCTCAAGGCCATCGCCCTCTTCACGCCAGGTCAGCGCTTCCCCCCCCCCCCACGGGCGTCGGGCATGGCGCAGGCTCTCTGCGCGGGGGGTGGGGGAGAGAGAGAGAGAGACCCCCGCTCCCTCCCGGGCCAGACTCCGCGCTCCCCCAGCACAGCTAGTCCTCGACTTACAACCGCCGTTGAGCGCGAAATTCCCATGGCTAAGTCAGACAGTTGTTAAGTTGGTTTGCCTCACTTTACGACCTTCCAGCTCCAACTTCCCAAAAGGGGATCGCAGAACCCCAGGAGCCTGCGACCGTTGTAACAGTGAGTCAGGGGCCGGGGGCCTGGATTTTGATCCCGGGAAGCTGCAGCGGTTGTAAAGGGTGAACAGCGGTCGTTGGTTGCTTTCTTCAGAGCCCACGAACAGTCACTAAATGAAGCCTGTTGTAAGTCGAGGACAACCTGAGAGCCCGTTGGGCTTGGGCTGGCCCTCCGCCAGATGAGGAGAGGAGGGGCCAGGCCGGGCCCCGAGGGCAGAGGCCGCTGGCCAGGGGGGGTCTGGGCAGGGCCCGCCTTGGCACCTGGCGAGGGAGGGAAGGCAGGCAGGGCTCTCCTCCAGGAGGAGGGCGGCTATTCCTCGACTTATGACCACAAGGACCGGTCCTAAAGCAGGTCACTTCAGGAGTCCGCAGGCGCCTGGGCAGGGCAGGCCGGACGATGGAAGGCCTGGAGACAGAAAGAGACGAAAGGCGTTGAGTCAGGAATGGAGTCTGGCAGCCCAGAGAGGAGGAGGATTTGGGGGGGGGGGCGTCCAAAGGGACTGGAGAGCCACCTGTCTGAAATTGTACAGGGGCTGGACTAGAAGACCTCGAAGGTCCCTTCCAGCTCTATGCCGATCGGTTGGAGAGGCCACCACCGAGTTTGGCCGGTTCGGAAAAGGAGAAGCCTCAACCTGCAGCCTCGTTTTGCAGTTTGCACTTTGCTCTAGCTCAGAGGTCCCCACACTCGGCCCCTGTAAGGCGGGTGGGCTTCAGCGCCCAGAATTACCTATGCTGGCTGGGGGGATTCTGGGAGTTGAAGTCCACCAGTCTTACAGGGGCCGAGTTTGGAGAGCTCTGGCTGAGCTGAAAGCCCAAAGGAAGGAGGGTCGCCCTGGGGGGGAGGGGAGCGGGGAGCTTCTTTGGGGGGGCTCCCTCAACGCCCCCCCATGGGAGCCTTGGACCGGGGTGGGGGAGGAAGGGGATGGGGTGTGCAACAGCGACACCCTGTGGCCAAAGGGAGGAGGTGCACCAAGGGTCTCTGCCAAGGCCCGTCCGCCCGCCGGGAAGGTGGCCAAGGTTTGGGGGCTTCTCAAAGGTCTTTTCCAGCCTCCCCCCCAACTGTTCTTCGGGCAAAGACAGGGGCAGCCCGGGGGGGGGATTCCTGGGGGGGTTCCTGGCTTTGTCTTGGCATCTTCCTGGGTCCTCCTGCCAACCGCGGTTCTCTCACCCCCCTGCAGCGTAGAGGATGAAAGGCAGTCCGGGGGGGGGAAGGGGGGGGCGCCCTGCGTGCTGCTCCTTTGGTTTCCCCCCCCCAACTGCTCTTTTCCTGCTGCATCGGAGGCTTTGGGGGGGGGGGGCGAAGTGAAGGGGGGAGCAACCTTCCCTGGCAAAGACCAGCCAGCGACAGCGACCGGATCTCCTCCGGCCCATCCGCTGGGCACCCTCCTTGGCAGAGGCAGCCGGCGCTTTGGGACTGGCACCGGCAAGCCCCCCGCTTTGCTCTTCCCTCCCGGGAAGGCAGCCGTGGAGGGCAAGGCCTTGGTGCCCCAGGGCTGCCAACGCCACTCCAAAAGCCCCGAGGGCCGAGCCGCCTGGGTTGCTGTTTTCCTCCAGCAGGAAACTGGAGCGTATCAGCAGTGCCAGCCATGTGGAAGGCCGGCCTGACCCGGTCCAGCTCTCTGGAACCACCGGGAGGCAAGCGGGCGCTGGGTTCCGAGATGCCATCAAGGCCATTCTCTCCGTTGGGCATTCAAGCAACGGAGGAGACTATTTAGAGCTCTGGGGGCAACGGCGGGGCCCCCGGTGCGCTCCGAGCCTGGGGGTTTTCTTGCAGACATTTCGTGACCCAGCTAGGTAACGGCGTCAGGGCTAGGAGGGAGTGGGGCCGCATGAAGAAAACACCCCTCCTTACCGGCACTGATGCGGTTCCCTAGTTGGTTCATGAAAGGCCGGCAGTGTGTCCGAAACCCCCGGGACCCCCGACTCTTCCGCCTTCGGGCCCACTGCAGAGGGGGGCGGTTGGGGCAGGCGGGGACCCCCGCGGCGGCCGGCTGACTCCTTCCCCTTTCCTGCAGACGCCTGCGGCCTCTCGGACCCGGTGCATGTGGAGAGCCTCCAGGAGAAGGCGCAGGTGGCGCTGACGGAGTACGTCCGCTCGCAGTACCCCTCCCAGCCGCAGCGCTTTGGCCGGCTGCTCCTGCGGCTCCCCGCCCTGCGAGCCGTCCCGGCCTCGCTCATCTCGCAGCTCTTCTTCATGCGCCTGGTGGGCAAGACGCCCATCGAGACCCTCATCCGGGACATGCTGCTCTCGGGCAGCTCCTTCAACTGGCCCTACGGGACGGGGCAGTGAACCCGGGCAGGAGACAGTGGTGGACGGACGTTGTGCCCGTGGGCTGCCGCCCGGAGGTCCCTTGGCCCCGACCGAGACTTTGGAGGAGGGGCGCTTGGGCTTGCCTGGGACCCCTCGGCGGCCGAGAACGGAGCCCGCCCAGCCCCAATGCCAAGAGAGACCCTCACCTGCCCCCAGAGGTTGGACCCCTTGGCTTCGTCTGGTTCTCCCAGGTTGCCCCACGCCAGCTGTCTCTGTGCCATAACGCAGCCAGAAGAGGAGGAGGAGGAGGAGGAGGAAGGTGGCCTGGGGGGCAAGGGGGGCTCTGGACCCCTCCCCCTCCTGGTTGGTTCCTCCCAGCATTCACATCAGCACCTTGACAGGGGCTCAGGGGTGCCCCCCCCCAGCTCTCTGGGCAGCCCTGGCAGGAGGGTCCGCCGTGGTACTGCCCCTCACTCATTTCTGCCCCGGGGGGGAGGGGGGACGAGGCTCCCTTGCCCAAACAGGTGAGCAAGCGGAGAGCGCTTGAAAAGGCCCCCCCCGGGTGGGGGGAGGGAGGGGGGCAGCTGCAAAGGGCCTCTTAAAGGAGGGGCCCCCTCGTGCCAGGCTTTTGACTGGCCAGCTGGTCTCTGCCCCCCCCCCCCCCCCTGCCTGCCTTCCCCCTGCCGTTTCTGCCCCCCGGGCCCCCCGGGCCCCCCCCCCCACAGATTGCCCTCCCATCCCTGGAGAGGAAGCAGCAAAGAGAAGGGGCAAATCGGGCCTGGCCCTCGGGTCTTGGGGCAGCCGGGGGCATCGGCAGAATTGTGGCCCCTGCAGTGCTGGGTCTGGGGCCCCCCGTGAGCCAGGGCCACACGGAGAGACGGGGCAGGGGAGCCGGTTGCCGAGAGAGGCGGGGGCTGTCCTGGCACGGGCCCCGGCCTGGATCCAGGCCCTTCCCCAGCGATGCCCCTCCCTCCCTCCCCCGGGGCCTGTTGGGCAGGTTGGTGGCCCCCCGTGGGCGAATCCCCCTGAAGAAACCCCGGGTGGGAAGTGGGCCCTGCAGATTTGAGGCTTGCTGCTCTTCTTCCTCGCCTGACCCCTGCCCGCATTTTAATTTCTGTCCCCCTCCCCCCCCCAAAATGCCAGGCTGTGCCAGCTCCCACGTTTGTGAAGACGCTATGCAAAACGTTGGCCTGCATGCGCCTGCCCTCCACACGTGGCCGCCCTCTCCTCCCCCGCCCTGGTGTCCCCGTGACCACCGGATGTCAGGTCGGCTCACATCTGTTTGATCACTTTGTGGCCTTTTTTCCTCCCCCCCTCTTTTTTTTCTCTCTGCTCCCCCCCTTCTCCCCCCTTCTCCGTGTGTGTGTGTGTGTGTCTCTGTGTGTGTGTGTGTGTGTGTGTGTGTATCCGACGGTCTCTTCAAAGAGCACGTGATGGAGATTCGCCATGAAACCCGTTTTGCTGACAGAAGAAACTGAGGCCACGCGGCCGGCTTTTCTTGTCGCCGAGAGTGGTAGGACTCGATCTCAGGTCTCGGAAGTCTAAAGTACCGATTGTAATCTATGCAAACTTTTCCTCTCTCTCTCTCTCTCTTTCTCTCTCTCTCTCTCTCCAAATTCCAGATCAAGGAAGCGCCACTTCTGTGCTTGGAATAAAAATATTTGGGTATTGGATGTGATTTATTTTAGCCTGGTTTTGGGGGGGGGGGCGCTCTCCAGGGGAAAGAAGGGGGGTGGGCCCTACCAGAAGGGGACGGGGGCTATAAGGACCACCTTCAAAGGCCAGTTGCCTCCCCCAGCCCATCTGTTGTTGTTTTTTAATTTTATTGATTTTTAAAAACAAACATAAACAAACAAAACATAAAACATCTTTTTTGAAAGCAGCATAATCCTGGGTTACATCTCTTCGTACAGACACAAATTCAAGTTCATGCTCATTTTTATATTCCATTCCCTATCTTATTACTATTCTACATTTTCTATATAGCTTCTCCCCTCTTTTAACTTTCTTAATTTTATTTTATTTATTTCATCTCAGTTCAAATCATTGTACATTATATTCTTTGTCTGTCCTGTTTCAACTGTCTACTGTCTTCTCTCATTGAACAAAATTTCTCCTGTAATCACTGATTGGAGTATGACGCCTTTATATCTTTCCCCTAAAATTATAACACTTAATATAATACATAACTTCCGTTCGAATTCTGCTTGGTACATTCTAAAACTACACACTGTATTTTTAAAAAAGAAAAAAATTTAAATGTATAATATAATTAAAACAACATACCAATTCAATTCTATCATTAATATTAATATTCATTTAAATCTTAACATTTTACACATTACTTTTCAGATAAGTATCATACTTCTATGGGAACACTTATAAACTTTCCATAGTTAATTCCCCCCCACTTCACTTACATTTTATAAAACATTGAGTAATTAAAATGTTCCCGTTCCTTCCTAATTCAATTCTCTCATTTATTTTATTTCATTTATTTTGTTCACGAAAGTTTCACTAAATTACACTGACTATTTTATCCCACTTTTTAATCATACGTTGTTTCCAATTTTCTAACATTATTTCTTTTACAAATATAACAATACAATCTTGTGTACCTTCACAGAATCCCTTTTTCAGTTAAATTTTCACCCATTATCTCTGAATAAGTCCTGTTTCTTTACATCTTGCTCCAAACCTTTGTAACTTCTCTTCCTTTCCTTCTTCCCTTTCTTCTTCTCTCTCCCCTTTTTACCCCCCTGTCTCTCCACCTCCATTTCCCTCTTCTGTATTCCCCTTTTCTGTTGCTTTCCAATTTTATATCCACTTTTCAAATTATTTTTCCCTTTTTTGGCTGTTTTTTTAAGTCTTAAATTCTCCATTCTCTTCCCCCGCTTTCCCCTTTCCTCCCCAGACAGAGTTACTTGTTCATTAAAGATGGCTTCTTCTTTGTCCCAATCTTCTAGTTGCGCAGTCTTTTCTTGTTGTTTCTCGTAGATGCAGATCGCCATTTCTAAGAATTGAAAAACGGAGCCAAAGAAGCCCTTCCCTTCTTGTGTCTCTTCGTTATATTTTTTAAATTCCATTTTCAGTTCATCCAGAAGTGATGCCATTGTAGAATTTTTTTTAAACAGCCACCCAATTGTTTTTAGTCATTCAAATATAATATCCAAAAATCCCAAAGTCACCAAGCAATCCAAATACACACAAGCTGTTCCTTTTTACACTTTCTTCTTTCTTCACTTTCTCTTCCTGAGGTTGCTGTTTAGTTCCAAAGTTCCAATTAAAATGTATCTTTTTAGAAGTCTTGTTAAGATTTAACTTTACATTTTTTTGAAGTCCAGGCAGTCTCCTCCTTCCAAATCCTGCCCTTATTCTCTTCCTCTCCCTTCCTCCTTATAGAAAAAAAGGATTTTTTAGTGTCCAGAAATCTTTATTGTCCCTTTGGCATTTAATTATATTTTCAGCTTAATTATTGGTGCCAAAGCGGATTTTTCTGATTTTTTTGTTCAGCTCTCTTTGTTGTCAATGTGAGGAAGGAGAGTGAAGAAAAAAAAAAACTTTCCCTTTTCACTTTCTTTCGCTGCTTCCGACTCTTCTTTGGGAGTGACGTTATCTTTTATAAAATTTAAATTCCAGGGTACCTTAGTTGTTGCTTTTTATCCCAGTCAACCAAAACTTTCACTTCTTATCTTCCTCCTGCACATTCTTTTCCGGTCGAGTTCTTCTTTGAGGTGGCCATTTCTGATCACCGCTCCTACCGCCTTCGGGAAAGGGAGTTTGGCCAGCTGAGGAGGAGAGATGCGGCTCCCCTCGACCCTGCTGGCTATCTCCCCACTCTTCACCACCTCTACGGGGTGGCTTAGCCCCGAAGCCAGCTGGCTCGGGACGCTCCAGCGGCGAGCCCAGGCAGAAACCGTGCACAATCACGGATTCCTGCCTGTCGCCGAAGCCCTGCAAACCGGAAGTCCCCCCAGCCCATCTGTTGTGGGACTCCAGTGCCCATCAGCTCCACGGGAGATGGTTTTTGTGCTGCCCCTTTTAGGGTCCTTGTTGATGGGGGGGGGGAAGAGACGTCCTTGTCCCTCCCCAGCTGCATCAGCAGCTGGGGGGTGGCTTTTGTGCTCCAGTTGGGAGGAAGGATGCCAGCCTGGCATCTCTGCGTTGGGGGGGCACCTTCCCATCTTCCATTGCCATCCCCAAGTCTGACCTTGGCACTTGGGGCAGCTGGGTGGGGCTGCTTTCCCTTCCGGGCTGATAGATTACAAAAACGATGGTTCTGTAGTTTTTGTCCAGGGGGGCGCTGAGGGCCCCTGCCTCCCACCCTGTGGGGCCCATCGCCAGACCTGCCCTGCAGCCCCAGCCAGGCTCTGGAGTTCGCCCTCTGGAGCAGCCATGCCCGGTGCTGCCTCCTCCTCGCCTTGCCAGGTGCCAGTCAGGTTCCCTTTCCTGGAGCGTGCCGGCCTGGCACGGCCTGATCCTGCCCGCTGGCCTTCTGTGCCAGAGGCCCCCTTTGGGGCTCCCAAGCCGGCTTGGCTCTTCAGGCGGGGCCTGGCCTGGCCGGAAGGTTTACAATCCAAGCCTTGAAAGGCTGCCAGGCTCCCTCGCCATCTTGTGCCCAGGGAAACCAAGGCGGTTCCTTCCTCCCCCACCCCCCGGTCTCTCCCCTGAGCCTCCCTGCCCCAGTCAGCCCAGGGCTCCCCCCCTACACCGTCTGCCGCTTTGGGGGTCTCAGTGGCCCAACTCCACCAGCAGCAGAGGGAGTCGGGCCAGAGGTTGGCACCCAGGCCTTAAAAACGCTGGAGGTTTTCGAGAAGAGGCGGGAGAGGCCTTCGTCTGCAATGCTTCTGGGTTCTCCTGCTTGAGTTGTGGGGGGTGGGTTTGACTAGAAGACCTCCAAGGGTCCCTTTCAATTCTGCTATCCTGTTCTTCCTTGCTCTGTTCTCCCAGCTAAGTCCAGAGGCTGCCCGGGGCCTTTGGCAGCTTTGCCCCATGTTCCTGGGTGCCAAGGGGGCCCCTCGGGAGCGAAGGGCCCGGAGCAGCTGGCAGACAGGCGCAGGGGCTGTGATGGGGCTGCCCGCAGGGAGGTAGCGATGCCCGGCCTCCTCCAGGGTCCCTGGCAGGGAACGCAGAGATTCTGGGGGCCCGTTTCGCACGTTGCCAACAAACAGACGATCCAAAGGGAAATTTCCCCACGTTTATTAAAGGAATAGCTTCACTATATGTCTTTAAAAAAAGAAAAAAGGTCTGCCCCCTCCCCATTTTCACAAAATATATATATATATATATATATATCCCCCAAGGGACGGAGATCCTGTTGGGCTGGGACTTTGGGGGAGGGTCTCGAGAGCGGCTGCCTCAGCTCCTGCTCTGCTCCAAAAGCAGAAATCCCCTGGGGGGGGGGATGTTTTTGCTTGGGACCCCCCCCCAGGAGAGCTCTCTGGACCCCCCCCCGGTGGCTTTTGGAAGCAACAGGGAGCAGAGATGGCATCTAGGGTGGCAGTGCCAACCTGGAGCAAGTTTCCAGCTGCAGAGCCTCTTGGGCAGCAGCGTTTGCCAAGCAGGCACCGGTTGGCACAAGGGAGGAAGAGGAGGGGGAGGGAGAAGAAAGGAGGGGGGAGGACAGGTGAGTGCTGTGCGTGTGGCTCTTCCCCCCCCCTCCTCCTCCCCAGGCGACCACCTGCTTCCTTTTTCAGATGCCACTTTTGGTGAGCAATTCCCCTTCCCCCACCCCCAATCGAACAGGCAGGATTCGACCCCGAGTCCTTCAGGGCAAAAGCGTTCCTTGCCTGCTAGGTGGCAGACGGGGCTCTTTCCATTCTGGGCCTTGGGGGGCCTGTCCCCTCCCTCGCTGCACATACTTTTTCTTTTTTTGGGGTGTCTCCCCATCACGGTTTGCCCCATGGCAGTCCAGGTTTCCCTGCCGCTGAGCGCCCAACCTCCCCCCCCCACAAAAGGAGAGAGATTTAGGGGCCGGTGCCCACCGTCCTCTCTGCCTCCGAGCATTTTGGCACAAGACGGGAGAAAAAAGCGTAAAAATAAGGAAATGCACAAAACGAGGCGCACACACGGATCTCATCCTCGTCTCTTGGAATGGGGGGGGGCACACCAGCACACAGGCGCCCCCCCCCCCCGAGTCTCTGGCTGGCCTTCGCCAAGCGTCCCCAGGCCCCAAGGAAAAGCCTGGCTTGGCAGGTTGGAGTCCGTCCGTCCGTCCTGCGCCCCGGGAGACATGCTGGGCCTCGGCCCCTCTCTTGGCAGGGGGGGGGGGCTCAGTGCCGGGGCCCCTCCCCAGGCTCAGCCGCGGTGCTTGTCGTATTCGCCCACCATCCTCTTGATGTGGAAAAGCTTCTTGCGCAGGGATTTGGTCTCCATTTTCTTGCTCTGGTACTCCGGCGTCTGGCATGGGGGGGGGGGGGGGGGGCGGGGGAAGGCTGGCGTAACCCGGGCTGGTGCCCACTTGCAGCCCCCCCCGCCCCCCACCCCGAGAGAGGCTGGCCAGGGTCGCCCCCCCCGCCCGGAGGGTGCTGGACTACACCCTACATCATCCCCACCCCGATTCAGGAAGCCCCTTAGAGCAGGGGTCTCCCACCGCGGCCCCTTTAAGACGCGTGGACTTCAACTCCCAGCATTCCTCAGCCAGCTTCGCTGGGAGCCATTGATGAGCTTCGCTGGCTGAGG